TTGAGAGTCATAGTTAGAGAGAGGAAAAGACACAGGGCTTCCACCCACTGGATCACCCTGCACAGGGCCACAGGGACAGGGCTGGGTAAGCACAGCCAGGAGCTTCATCTGGTCTCCCCCAGGAGTGGCAGGCGCCCACCCAGGCCGGCCTCTGCTGCTTCCGAGGTGCACCAGCAGGGAGCTGGATGGGAAGCAGAGCAGCCAAGACTCAAAGCAGGAACTCAGATGACTGACGCCAGCACCACAGGTGGCAGCTTAACCCACTGCACCTCCACCCTGGCCCCATCTTGTCGTTGCCTTTGGACACCTATGATACATGTAAGCTAGAGAAAGTAATCAGAAATGGAGGAGAAAAAAAGCTCATTTTACAAGTATCCCCTCAGCTGTGGTCTCAAATCTGGAGAGAAACACCACTACTGCTGTGGGCACTGCTGTGCGTCGGTACAAAGAACAGCTGGGGTGTTTTGTTGCTGTTGTTTTGTTTTATTTTGTTTTTTAAGAGTATCTGAATAACCTAAAAATTTTGTTTTTATTTATTTGTAAGGCAGAGTTACCTAGAGAGAGACAGAGACTTCATCCCCTGGTTCACCCCCCAGATGGTCACAGTGGCTGCGGCTGGACGGGCCAAAGCCAGGAGCTTCTCCCAGGCCTCCCGTGTGGGGGCAGGGACCCGAGCACCTGGCCATTCTGCACTGCTTCCCTGTGCCTCCTAGCACGGGGCCGGGTGGAAGTAGAGCAGCTGGGACACGAACAGGCACCCACAGGACCCAGTGCTTGGAAGGCAAGGATTTTAGCCACTGAGCCATCATACAGACCACACTATTAATTTTTGTAAAGGTTTATTTATTTATTTATTTATTTGTAACTTAGGGCTACATAGAGGAGGAGACAGATTTCCCTTCTGCCAGTTCACTCTGCAATGGCTGCAGTGGCAGGGGCTGGGCCAGGCCAAAGCCAGAAGTCCAGAGCTTTTTCCAGATGTCCTGCATAGATGTCGGGACCCAGTCATTCCAGCCGTCCTCCACTGCTTTCTCAGGCCCATGAGCAGGGAGCTGGGTGAAGTGGGAGTTGAATTGGCACCCATAAGGGATGCTAGCTCCACAGGCCACATTGTACCATGCTGTGGGGCAGCGCTGAGCCCTTGAGAGGGCCTGTAACCGACCTTGAGGTACATGTGTGCAGGTTTGCTGGGTGATCCCTCCCCGGGCACGCCCATTCCCATCTGAGGACCCTGTGGTCCCCAAGGCCAGCAGCTCCATGCTGGGAACCTTCGTCCATACGTCCCTGCCCCTTGCCCCGTCGTTTCCTTCCAGTCAGTTCCTGCAGACGTGTCTGGCAGAAGCATGTTCCCCAGGCTTTTCTGAGTGTTTGGGAGCTGGCCCCGGGGCTCAGCCGGGACCCTGACCTGACTCCCGCCTGGCCGTTCCAGCTCCTGTTGCTGTGGCCCCCAGCTGCAGCCAGCCCCCTGCCGGCCCGGACCCTGCACACCTCTACGCCCGTCTGCTGCTGCTGAGGCACACAGCTGAGCAGGTGGGTGGCATCGCCCTTGGGTCCCCTGCTCATGTTGGGGACAAGCAGAGCCCCTCCAGCTCAAGACAGACGCGACAGGGAGCATACTGGGGCCGTGAGGGGCAGGCAGAAGACAGCACGCCGGGGTCGTGGGGGCGGGAGACAGGACACAGAGCCAGGGAGACCCCCACCTGCAGCCCCCGGCTCTGTGCAACACTGTCGGCCCAGGTCAGAGGTGTCAGCCCAAGAGCGTGGCCTGAGTGCTCAGTGCTGCAGGCCTCGCTGCTCTGTGAGCTCTGACCCCCCCACCCAGGGGACGGAGGCTGAGGCTGAGACAGGAAGTGGTGAGTTGCTAAGCTCTGCAGCCCATGGGGTCCTCACTGGTGTGAACACCTCTTCTATATGCCCGGGCTCTCCTCTGCATGCCCCCCTGCCTGCTGCCCCTCGCCCCCAGCCCCAGGCTGAGCCAGGGAGTGGTTAGGGAGGGGACACCCGCGGCCCGGGGGTGCACCTCTCAGCTCGCAGAGATGTGACCGCTCTCCGGATCTGCCTGGCAGGACCGTGACTTCCTGGAGAATGAGCAATTCTTCCTGGAGACCCTGAAGAAGGCCTCGTACAACCTGCCCTCCCACTCAGCCTGACAGCCATCCACAGGGAGTGCCTGTCCACGGGGGGTGTGTCCTCACCAGAGCACACCCTGCTGCCTTCGTGCCCTGCCAAGGCTGGTCCTGCCTCACTACAGCTCGTCCTCACTGACACCGCACCCGCAAGGTGCAGCGGCCATGGGGGCCTCATGCCGCAGCAGTCTCACCAGTCTGGACCCACCTACCGCAGGCATCTGGCGCACCCTAAGGGTCTGAACCCAGTGAACACCCCAACTCCTGCCAGGTCCATAGGCAGAGGGGCGTGAGGTCCCCGGCATGGGGGCCACTATAACCTTCTGGCCCTTCTACTGAGGGGTCCCCTCCTTAACGATGACACAGAAAAGGCTCTTCTGACCTCGTGGAGAGATGGCAAGAGGGCTGAGCTTCTGGGGGTGGGGAGACTGTGCTGCTGCTGCGCCAGCAGGGGCCACCCTTCAGTGTGCCACACTCTCCAGCTTGTGCCAAGTCCTGGCCACACTCTTGCGCAGCCCAAGCAACCGACTGGCTGAGCGCCCCCAGCTGGCTTCTGGCCTTTGCCTGCGCCTCCAGGTGCTCGCCAGTCAGGGTGGGAGCAGTGGGAGGGACCCTGAGAGCTGCTGTCCACCTGCCCGAAGCCACAGCTCGGCAAGAAGGAAGGTTCTGCAGCGGGATTGTGCCCCATGGCGGGGACAGAGGACCGGGCCTGCAAGGGTCACACCACCCAGTAGCTGCCGCCTGCTCCTCTGCCAGGCCAGCCAGGGGTCCAGAGTCTGGGTGACTGCCCAGCCGACCCAGGGCACACTGGCTCAGCTAGGCCCACGGGCTCCTAAGCCTCTGGCGGGAAGCCTTTCCCATGTTCTGGCAGAGGAAAGCACACGTGTGTGGAGAGGCCGAGAGGGCTCAGGGCAGCGGCGTGTCCATCATTTGCCTTGGGCACAGCTGTCAGGCCTGTGTCGTTCAGCGAGTTACACTACAGGCTGTGGAGCCATTAAATCAATATATTCCTAACATCTGGATTTTTTATTTGTTTGAAAAGGGACATATAGAGATTTTCCGTCCTCTGCTTCCCCCCTTCCCTTCCCCTAAACAGACACAGTGGCCAGGGCCTTTCTCCAGGTCTCCCACACGGCTGATAGGGCCAAACACTTGGGCCATCCCCTGCTGCTTTCCCAGGGGCGTTAGCAGGGAGCTGGATTGGGAGTGGTGAAGCCAGACATGAGCTGGTGCCCTCATGGGATGCTGGCATAGTTATTTACTTCAATATCTGTTGATTAAAGAGGCAGAGATTGCATCCATCCACTACATTCATTTCTCAAACGCCCACAACAGCCAGGGCTGGCTGGCCCCACAGCGGCGGGCAGGGAAGGTACTGCGGGTAACTTCCTCCTCGGGACACAAGGGGTCAGGGACACAGGTGCACTGAGCAGTGTCTATGGCAGTAACAGGAAACCGGACTCAGGAGTGGGGCAGGACTCAGCAGGCACTGCCGTGGGCCGCAGGCGTCCTCGCGGTTCACCAGTGGCTGGCTTCCTTGGCAGCAACCCACAGAGCTTGTACTTCTCTATTCGCTATTTGCCAGAAAGACTAGTCCCCGAGGGCAGCTATTCCATCAAGTCCAACTTGTAAAGTGGATGGCCCAGCGCAGGCTCCTCCGGCCACGGGCACCACAGAGCCAGCACAAGGGAATGACCACATTGCTGCTTCCAGGGAAGTGACAGGGAGTGCGCCCTCTGGTGGAGCACAGCCCCTGGAGGAGCAGAGTTCTGGTGCTGGCTGAGGGCACGGCAGGCACCAGTTCCGGTGCTGCTGACATCAGGAGGGACATACCACGTTCCCTGAGAGCACACCGTCGGATCTGCACCAGAAGTGGGGGCCTCAGGTGGACAGGCTGTCTTGGGGCAGCTGGCACTTGGTCCCTAGGGTCGTGTGATGTGACTTTAGGAGCAGGGAAGATGGCTTTGGGTGTCTCCTTAGAAACATGTGGCCTTTGAGCATCTGCTTGTTGGAAATGCAGTGCCCGTCCTCTGGCTCGCTCCCCAACGTCCCCAGCAGCTGGGGCTGGGCAGGCGGGATTCAGTCTGGATCTCCCACCCGAATGGCAGAGGACCAGCCATCTGAGTCCAAGCCTACTGCCCTCCAGGGGGCTGCCTCAGCAGGAAACTGTGTCTGGTAACAGAACCTGGCGCCAAGGTCTGCTCCAAGACCGTGACCTTTAATGGTTATTGTTAAGATCTGTTTTTCATATTGGAAAGGCAGATTTTTGGATAGAAGGAGAAAGATCTCCTATCCACTGGTTCACTTGCCAAATGACCACAATGGTTAGAACTGAGCCAGGACCTTCTTCCAGTTTCCCACGCGGGTACAGGGTCCCAAGGCTTTGGGCCGTCCTCGACTGCTTTCCCAGGCCACAGGCAGGGAGCTGGATGGGAAGTGGAGCTGCCGGGACACAAACTGGCGCCCATTTGGGATCCCGGGGCACTTGATGATGGAGGATTAGCCTGTTGAGCCACAGTGCCTCCGATGCTGCAGGGTTCTGGTCCGGCTGTCCACCGCCTGCCAGAGCCTATTCCAGACACGACCTCCTGTTAACAGCGCCGCAAGGTAAGCACAGCGGCCCCTTCCTCTCCAAGTGCGGAAACTGCAAGTAGCCACAAACAAGGTCCTAATCCGGAACCCTGCGGGGCTCAGGACGTTCACGTAGAAGGGCGAGCGCCGCCTGGTGGCCGACTGCTGGCAGCCCCGCCCCGCCGCACAGAGGCCGCCTCCGGGGGCGGGGCCTGGGACGGGAGGGGTTTCGGGGAAAGGGGCGGGGCCTTACCCCGGCGTTCAGGCGTCGCCGCGGCCACCTGCGTCGGGGTCCTAGCGGCGGCAGAGGCGGCCCAAAGATGGCGGCGCCCTGGCGGCGAACCGTGCTTTGTGCAAGTCGGACATGGCGGGGCTTCAGCACGTCGGGTGAGGGGCCTGCGGACGCGAGCTCTGGGAGCCGGCCGGGCCCCTGCCCCCACTGCCGGCCTGACGCCCCGCTCTCCCTCCGCAGCCGCCCGCAGCCGCCGCGCCGCCCCCCTGGGGCCGATGCCCAACGAGGACCTGGACGTGAGCGATCTGGAGCGGCTGGAGAAGTACCGCAGCTTCGACCGCTACCGGCGCCGGGCCGAGCAGGAGGCGCGGGCCCCGCACTGGTGGCGGACCTACCGGGAGCACTTCCAGGAGGGGACAGGTGCGGGCGCCGAGCACTGAGCGACCTCAAGTCTTACCAGAATCGATTTATTAATCATGTGACAGAGTAACAGACAGATCTGCCATCCCCTGGTTCACTTTCCAAACGGCTGCAACAAAACAGACCAAAGCCCGGAGCCAGGATCTCTGGGTCTCCCACATGGGTGCAGGCGCCCAAGTGTCCAAGCCTTCCCAGGCACGTAGTAGGAAGCTGGGTCAGAAGGGGAAGAGCCGGGACTCGAACCTGATACTCAGATGAGGGGTGCTTAAAGGAAGGTAGCAGCTTAAACCCCACGTGACGTTCCTGCAACGACACCCTGGTGTGTGATGACAGCCAGCAGTGATCAGGTGGCACCCCTCACGTCGATGAGGCGGCAGCTTTGGGTTCACCTGCTGACCCGCTGGTCCCCACCAAGGGCTGGGCAGCCAGCAGCTCAGCGTGTTCTGTGAAAGGGAGGCCCGGGCTCTGGAACCGAGGCTTCACCTTCCCTTTCCACAGCAGAGCCCAAAGACGAGATTGACATCGGATTGCCTCCGCCCAGAGTCAGCCGGGCCCACCAGCTGCTGGAGAGGAAGCAGGCCTTGCGGGAACTGCGGGCCAACCCCGAGCAGGAGCGGGCTGCCCGCCTCCGCACAGGTGCGGCCCTCAGAGGCTGGGGCTCCTGGGTGCGCCCCACCGCGCCACTGCCCTGTATCCCAGCTGGCCTCCTTCCCCCGCAGCCAGCGTGCCCCTGGAGGCTGTGCGGGCCGAGTGGGAGCGGACCTGCGGCCCTCACCACAAGCAGCGCCTGGCCAGGTACTACGGCCTGTATCGGGACCTGTTCCACGGGGCCACCTTCGTGCCGCGAGTCGCCCTGCATGTGGCCTATGCCGTGGGTGAAGAGGACCAGCTGCCTGTGTACTGTGGCAACGAGGTGACCCCGACTGAGGTACCAGCACGCCCTGCCCTGCTCCCTTGCTCTGTGGGCCAAGGCTGCTCACCCAGCCTTCACTGGTGGCGCCTTTGGCCTCTGCCAAGCCCTGGTTGTGTGGCTGGAGCCCCCCTGGGATGTCTCGTGGGTGTAACAGATGCAGTCTCTCCCTGCCAGGCTGCCCAGCCCCCCGAGGTGACCTACGAGGCCGACGAGGGCTCCAGGTGGACACTGCTGCTCACCAACCTGGGTGGGTGTCCGGGGCTCCCCAGGCCTGCTGTCTGGGCGCCCCTCCCTGAGCCAGGGCTCTGAGTGCGGGGGCAGGGGAGGCGGCAGGGCCCTGGGTGCGGGGGCAGGGGAGGCGGCAGGGCCCTGGGTGCGGGGGGCAGGGGAGGTGGCAGGGCCCCTGGTGAGCAGGTGTTTGTACTGCAGATGGACACCTGCTGGAGCCTGACGCTGAGTACGTGCACTGGCTGGTGTGAGTATCCAGTGGGGGCCGGCGAGGGCAGCACCCAGATATCCAGGATCCCTGATTTACCTCATGCCCCAGGTTGAAGCCTCTCACCTGCCTCCCGGTCGTGTCAGGGGCTCTGTGGTCCTGGTGTGAGCTCGTACACAGCCCCCAAAGCAGCTGCTCCACGCACCCCCCTCGCCTCTCGGCTCACTCCTCAGATGCCTGCAGTGGCTGGGGCTGGGCCAGGGCAAAACCAGGAGCCCAGAACTGCCTCCAGGTGTCTGTGTGGGTGGCAGGACCCCCAGGGCTCCGGTCATCCTCGGCTGTCTTCCCAGGCACGCTGGCAGGGAGCTGGAGCAGCAGCAAAACAACCTCTACCACTCCGGGTGACCTGATGGGCATGCTGGGGCCATGCTGGCAGCACAGCTTTGGGGAGCAGCCGTGTACCCGGGTTTTTAACAGATGCTCTCCTCCCACAGAACTAACATTCCTGGCAACCGGCTGGCAGAAGGAGAGGAGTCCTGCCCCTACCTGCCCCCCTTCCCGGCCCGGGGTTCCGGCTTCCACCGCTATGCCTTCTTGCTCTTCAAGCAGGACGAAGCCATCGACTTCTCCGAGGACACCCGCCCCACCCCCTGGTAAAGCCCCACCTGGGCATGTTTGCTCCGCCCCCTCCCCTGACCTTGGCCTTGAGACCACAGAAGAGCAGTGTATGAGGCCGACCCTGAGGGGCTACCTTGGGGGGTCGCTCAGCAGCAGGAGGGGTGGGGCTCCAGGGCAGCGACCCACTCACACTCCTCTCACAGCTACCGGCTGGCCGAGCGCACCTTCCGCACCTTTGATTTCTACAAGAGGCACCAGGACGCCATGACCCCTGCCGGCCTGGCCTTCTTCCAGTGCCGCTGGGATGCCTCCGTCACACACGTCTTCCACCAGCTCCTGGGTAAGGCTGGGGTTTGAGGCGGCTGCGGGGCGCCTGCCCTAGGGGGAAGCCCCGTCCACACAGCTCCCGTCCCCATGCCCCTCTCTCCCCTGGCAGGAATGCGGGAGCCTGTGTTTGAGTTCGTGCGGCCGCCCCCTTACCACCCCAAGCAGAAGCGCTTCCCGCACCGGCAGCCCCTGCGCTACCTGGACCGCTATAGGGACAGCACGGAGCCCAGCTACGGCATTTACTGAGGGACGGCGTCCACTGCGGGCAGGGAGGGAAGGGGGCGCCCCGGGGCTGCGGCTGGAGTGGGAATAAAGATGGTTTCTCCCCCACCCTGGTCTGCGCACCTGTTCCTGGCAGGCCCCCTGGAGGGGCCAGGGTCAGAAGGGGCTCGGCCTCCTGGCCACAGGGGTGTCGGTCTCACCACCAGTGACCGGAAGGAGGATTCAAAGGAGAAAGCAGGCAGTGGCCGTGGCTGCCCCCACAGCTCCGAGGGAGATAGACCAGCCCGAGTTTCAGGGTTCAGGGTGGTGGCAGGCCCTGGGCTATGCGGTGTGGCAGTGTGTCTCCTAGGCTTTGGGACACACCTCCCCAGAGGGACAGGACAGAACTGGCAGCCTCTTAGAAAGGCCTTAGCCCACACAGCACTGCGCAGGGAGGCCCAGAATCACACAGTGGGTGAGGCCCCAGTCACCCCAAAGACAGGCTCCAGGGCACCTCCCTCAAGAGGGACGCCCCCGAGGGAGGGGCTGGCCAGTGGGCTGCTGGACAGGGCAAGGCTCCCCAGTGCCCTTGTAAGGCGCCTTCAGCAGTACCGCCACTGTTGCCTGCCGTCTCTTGGCGACCAGAAATTTCCATCTTGCTGTTTACTTTAAATGAACCAAAATTAGGTGAGCCCAGAGAAGGGAGACACCCCAACTGGCAACAGCCTGAAGAACCTGCTCCAACAGCAGCAGGTCACCGCGGGTCAGCAGCCTTATCTGCGGCCTGAGCCCCACTCCAGTCCACCATGTGCCCCGCGCTCGAGGCCCAGACACTGAGGGGTCCCCCCGGAGAGCCCCGGGCCCCAGCCTGCTCTGATTCTTAAAGGCAGGGCCTCTGGTCCGCCCAACGGGACCCCAGAGCCAGTTCGCCTCCCAGCTGGGATTGCCAGAGGGTCAAGGTCGGGGGAGAACCGCGAACCCTGCGCAGGCCCGGTTGACTTTCTAGGCGTGGTCGGGGCGGCTCGCGGTTCCTTTAAGAGGCTCGGGCCTGGCCCTGCGGCCCCGGGACCTTCCCTGTGCCGGCTTCCGCCATGGCGGCCGAGCTGGAGGAAAAGCTAACCTGCTCCATCTGCCTGGTTCTCTACCACGACCCGGTGACGCTCTCCTGCGGCCACAACTTCTGCAAGTGCTGCATCCAGGACTGGTGGCGCGGCCAGGAGAAGCAATGCCCCGAGTGCCGGGAGCCCTTCCCCGAGGGCGCCGAGCTGCGCCGCAACGTGACGCTGAGCGGCGTGCTGGAGCTGGTGCGCGCCGCGCCCAGCCAGGCCCCGGGGCCCCTCTCGGCCAGCGAGTCCGGCGCGCGCTGTCCCCGCCACGGTTGGCCGCTCGAACTCTTCTGCCGCACCGAGGGCCGTGGTGTGTGCAGCGCGTGCACCGTGAACGAGTGTCGCAACCACGAGCGGGCGCTGCCGGACACCGAGCGACGCGAGCGCGAGGTCGGCGGGCCCGGGGCAGGGCGGGGTCGTGCAGGGCGGCGAGGGTTCCCAGCAGCGGGGGGTCCGCGCAGCAGCCACACCCCACCCGGCTGTGCCCCCCGCTGCGGGTTCCTGGAAGCGCTCGTTGAAGGTCCAGCGAACAGCCAAATCAGGGACCCCACCAATAATGAGAAAATATGTCTTTCACTGTCCACCCCATTATTTTTTTAATCGTTCAATATTAAGTGCCATGTGTTTACATGGATAGAGATTGTCAGAATTTTATATCTATATTCACATGGAAAACATCTTTCCTACTAGAATATAGTGCTTGCATGCAGTTCTTTCTGCATTAAATTTTACAGAATCCAAAATTCTACAAATTCTCAAAATTTGCAGGCCTGGGGCTGCGTACCTGAGCCTGGGCAGATGGCAAGGAGGAAGGGGGTGCATTGGTGCAGGGGTGGGGGTGGAGGTTGGAACTGGTGGTGGTACCCTAGCTGCTGGATCACAGGGGTGAGAGGCTGCGGGGGTAAAGGGAGAGGAACCCCATTGATGCCAGGGGAAAAAGAGTGTGTTGCTGCCTTTGGCAGGTGCAGCTGTCTGAACACCATGCAGTGGGGACCAAGAAGTGACAACAGGTGGCCCACCCGGCCCCACTTTGCTGGAGATGAGAAGTGACGGGGGCTGTGTGGGCTGTGGAGCCAGGAGGATTACGATTGGATTCACAAGGGAACAGGGGGACACAACCATGTGGCTCCCCTCTCCTCTCACACCCCCAGCACCACAGCAGGTTCTAGCTTTGGTGTGGCTGCCTGCGGTTAATGGGAGAGGAGGCTGCAACCCAGGACTTCTATGTTGCCAGCACCATCCTGCCCCAGGATGGTGGGAGGGACTCCAGGAATCCTCCCTGGCTCTGCACGCTGTCCCCTGGTGGGCTGGGTCTGGGGTGGCAAGAGGGGGTGCTCAGACCTGCAGGCCCTTGCTAGCTGACGCCACCCCTCTCGTTCCCCGGGGCCGACACCGCAGGCTCAGCTGAGAGCCAGGCTGGAGGTGATGGAGCAGCAGGCTGCCAGGGCTGAGTCCCAACTACAGGAGCTGCAGCGGTGTAGTGGCCAGATCAAGGTACAAGATCCACCTGGTGGGGAGGGAGGGACCGAGCTGTAAGCTGGATACTGAGGGAAGTTACCGGTTCCTACCCCACCTGCCATGAGTAACCTCGGTCCCAGCTCCACTGAGACTCCTCCTGTGCCTGCACAGCGCTCGGCCTGCACCATGTCCTCTATGGTCTCCAACAAGTTCAGCCGCCTGCTGCAGGCTCTGGAGATGCAGCAGGCCCTGACCCTGCAGGGCATCCAGGCAGCTGAGACACGGGCTCTGGCGCAGGCCCAGGGTGAGGAACAGCGGCTGCAGGACCAGCTGGATGCCCTGGCTCAGGACAGCCGCAGGATCCGGGATCTCCTGGGAGAGGGAGACAGCCAGGCCTTCCTGCAGGTAGCGGATGTCATCGTAGGGGTGGGAGGCCGGGAACTGGCTTGTGTGTTCCCTGGGACAAGGCTTGACTACAGCTGTCACTCGCCGGTGTTAAGGCATCCCAGCAGCTCCCCGAGCCCCCACTGCCTCCTGGGCCGTTGACCCTTCCTCAATGGGATGAAGCCCAGCAGCTGGGTGCCCTGCAGGCATCGCTGCACCCGCTGTGTGACCTCCTCCTGCCAGCCAAGGCCACCGACCCGGGCCCTGTGGGTGAGGCTGAGCCCAGAACCTTCCCCCTGCCACATGGCCTCCCCTTAGCCTCCCCACACACTCCTCTAACACTGCTTTGCCCCCTAGATGCTACGGACGCCCTGGTACCAGTCCCAAGCATGGTGTGCCCACTGAGGAAGAAACTCTGGCAGAGTAAGGATGCCCAGTGCCTCTGTGTGTGTGTACACATGTATGTGCACCTGTGCCTACCTATGTGAGTGTGGAGTGCACCTGCCAGGGCCTTCCTGGTCTCAGGACACGTGTGGGTCTGCCCCAGAGCAAATGCAGCCGGCATGGTCAGAAAGGACAGACCCTGGTCACGTGGACTTGGGGCCCAACACCATGGAGCCACTATCATACCAGCTAGCTCACTTCTCTGGGAGGTGGGCCTGTTGAATCCCCCATCAGAGACTTGGCAGCCATCTAGCAGGAGAGGACACCCCTGCCCACATGGGTCTCTTTCCCCAACAGATTACCGCAATCTGACCTTCGACCCGAACAGTGCCAACCGCTACTTATACCTGTCCCGCCAGGACCAGCGGGTGAAGCACCGTCGCCAGCCCCGGGACCCAGCAGGGCAAGGCAGCTTTGAGCTGTGGCAGGTGCAGTGTGTCCAGAGCTTCCAGAGTGGGCACCACTACTGGGAAGTGCATGCCTCTGACCACTCGGTGACCCTGGGCGTCGCCTACCAGGAGCTAGAGCGTCTTAAACGGGGGCCCCAGACAGACAACATCGGGCGTGGAGCCTCATCCTGGGGGCTCTGTGTCCAGGAAGACAACATCCAGGCCTGGCATGATGGCAAGGTCTGCCGCCTCCCTGGAACGAGCGCGCGGCTCCTGGGCATGGATTTGAACCTGGCCTCGGGCAGTCTCACGTTCTATAGTCTGCAGCCTGAGACGCGGCTCCTGCACACCTTCCACGCCTTCTTCACGCAGCCTCTCTATCCTGTCTTCTGGCTCTTTGAGGGCAGGACACTAACCCTGTGCCAACAGCCTGGAGCTGAGCCTCCTCCAGAGCCCAGCTGAGGAGGGCATGGTGGAGCTGTCAAGAGTTGGAGCCTGTGTGTCCCAAGCTGCCCACACCTGATCTGCCACCTGGACACACAGCTGTGGCAGGGCCAGCTGTTGGCCTCAGTGTCGACTCAGAACCCCCAAACTGGACTTCTTCCTGTGTCCTTGAAGAGGGTAAGAACAAGCGGGGAAGTGAAGCGCACAGCCCAGGCTCCCCGCACAGCCCAGGGTTCCCCGCACAGCCCAGGCTCCCCGCGCAGCCCAGGCTCCCCGCGCAGCCCAGACACAGCCCAGGCTCCCCGCGCAGCCCAGGCTCCCCACACAGCCCAGGGTTCCCCGCACAGCCCAGGCTCCCCGCGCAGCCCAGGGCTCCCCGCACAGCCCAGGCTCCCCACACAGCCCAGGGTTCCCCGCACAGCCCAGGCTCCCCGCGCAGCCCAGGCTCCCCGCGCAGCCCAGACACAGCCCAGGCTCCCCGCGCAGCCCAGGCTCCCCGCGCAGCCCAGGGCTCCCCGCACAGCCCAGGCTCCCCACACAGCCCAGGGTTCCCCCGCACAGCCCAGGCTCCCCGCGCAGCCCAGGGCTCCCCGCGCAGCCCAGGGCTCCCCGCACAGCCCAGGGCTCCCCGCACAGCCCAGGGCTCCCCGCACAGCCCAGGCTCCCGGCACAGCCCAGGGCTCCCCACACAGTGTGCGCACCTGAGCCCTGCTGGGGTTCCTGCCGGCTGCTCAAGGCCAAAGCGCAGGTCGACTTCAGGCCACTCCCAGAGAAAATAAACCGTAATTCCTCTCTCCCAGTCTTATTTTCTTTCATTTTGTAGTATTTTGGTATATATAAATCCTCCATTTTTATTTGTACATCCTGATA